GTCTCCTGGCTACTGATATTATTATTGACTCTCAGAAATTGCCATGACATAAAACTTTTTAAGTTGTTAGACTTCATCATGTATCCGTTTGTACGTCTACTTAATCTACAATAAATAGTTCTATCATTATTTTCTCCCCTCTTTTTGACTATTATTTCATATGATTGGCTCCATTCACCGCAGCGGTATGGTCTTAAAATACTGCACTCTGTGAAATGCATATAACAAATCTTCACACCATTCACCTTGCAGTCAACGAATGCTAAAGTTGTCGAGTGGTGTTACGCATTAAGCGGGAGGTTACCGAATCTCGTTACCATTAACTCCTAACCAGGAGGCCAGTTTAGAGATGTCAGTCTGGTTAACACCAGTTTAGACAACTGGCAGTTGATACTGAATATCGCAGCGGAGTCAAATTTTGAACATATAAAGTTCTTCCTCCATGAACTACCGAACCTCCTACTGTACTCAGTTTTCATCAGAACTGCTATATATAAGATGCGCATTTGACTATGTCTTAATTCACAATCATTGAAAATAAATCATTCATTAGTTGGAAGTGGCTACCAAGAAATGCAATTTAGTTTAAACAAGCTGTCGAGGAAAATATTTAAGTGCGTAAAATCAACCGTGACGGTACTTAGTTGGCTTGTACATTTCTCTTGGACCTTAACTTTTCGTGGCATAAGTCTACGTACCTTGCATGTTTATATACGTATGTATTTTATTTTGAGACCAATTAATTTCTCGACAATATTTTTTCCACTAGAAATAGTTCAGATTTAAGGTTCAGTCATATTTTCTTATCTCGGAAATATTTTTCGGTACCATTATGCATATAATTAATAATACATGATGATGAAAGTGATGTATATTTAAATGCATAACACAAAAAAATTTTCAAGTTTTCAATTAGTTGAGAGTGTGTATTTTATAAGGTACTTCATATAATTCTCTGTACGTTTTATAGGCCATGTTGCTTACTTATTGTCTGAGAGTCTGATACCAAGTTTTACTGATGGCTAATTGTTGCCATGTTATCCTAGGGAGGAGGGGAGAGATGAGTTGGTGACACTGTACATACTTTTCTTCGCGCGACTCCGGCTAATATAAGGTACACAAATGAGGTAAACGTAGTTCGTGTTCCCTTTAAGCTTTCACAACTTAAGTGTCTGAACCCCGTGTCACTCGGTCAACAAGCCTTTGGATATATGTTTTTCTGGCACACAAAAACCAACTATATTTGCTAATTAAAGCGTATAACTACGTTAGGCGTACAGGAGTTACTTCGTGTGTGCTTGGTGTAAATAACCATAATGTGCACTGCTCTACTGAATTCTATTGGGCAGTTGTCTTTGTGATATTAAGCTGAAGGAGGTCGTACAATTATGAAAATACAAGGGCAGTCGTTGTTGCCTTTCCTCACTTTCCTTCCACACATCATGTGACTAAATATCCGTTAAAGCGACAAAAATTTTTTACCTCAAACTTCCCAGTTTGCTGTGGAAGTTAGAATGCCCACATAAAGTTATATTAGCAGGTATTAAATCAGGGAAAGGTATATTGTAGTGTCTGTATAGTCTCTCTGTGAACCAGCTCGGATTATGAGTCACTTATATTCATAAGGTTCATAGTCATACAATGATTAAATGTGCTCGTGAAGGGTAAAATCGAGAAAAATAAGTATGATTCAGCCCTTAATGAAGTGTTCAGCCTTCATAAAGTTCTGGAACACAAACATCAATACTGTGTCTAACACTGTCCATATACTTCGACCACTAGCTCGGATTTGACTTTTGCAGTCTAGAGGTGTTGATGTTATGTTTTAGTATGAATAATAAGTCTAGAAAACACTTTTTTCAATCTAGACACTGCTTTAACCTATGCAGCTGTGTGAAAGTTATCTGAATTACTGACATCTGTTGAGATTTACAGTGTCCCCAATGAATGTGCTTACTGTTGAATACGATTTCTCCTCTTAAGCCTAAGCATCCGTTTTTCAACCTGTAACAGCAGTTTCGAGTCCAGCTGTACCTACCTTAGCCTTTTCAAGTGGCTATTGTCATCACCCTGCAAACAATACATGTGGTTCATATCCTGTTATATGAAAAGATCAGTTTTGAGAAACTATTCGAACAAGGAAAGGTATCACTAATCTACAATATGCAGATTATCTAGTCTTTTCAGGCTAAAACACTGACAACATGTTAAGTTTTATAAAAACTGAGCCATAATTTGCATATGTGAAACATGTACTTGCACTCTTTAACTGTAAGGTAATGCTATAGCACTGGTCCTCATTGTTTTCTAGCTTCAAAATGAGATGTAGATCAGTAGATTCTGTAGGTCACCTCACTTAGTCTAAAAGTCACACCAAACGTAGTTGACGAGTTCCTAACAAAAATTGGTGCAAATACGAATGCTTGTTTATCAGTTGCCGTCTTTGCTACAGCCATGATATCTGGCATCTTATGGTATATGTGTGTGTACTGCATAGCATCCACTCTGTTCTTTTTACGGCTATTTCAAATATCTGTAGAAAATAGAAGATAGGAGAGTATGTAGGTCCTTGAGCAGAAGTTTTTTCGTAGGGTTATTTCCTTTAGGTAAAATACTGTTTCAAATGATAATGACAGTGTGGATATTGAGCGTTATGTGATCAGGTTATCAATTCTTGTTGATTGATGCGATGAAAAGACATGCGGCGCATGCTAAACCACTGCTTTTCTCGACTAGTGACGTTTTGATGAAGCAGGACTAGGCTGGTCAGTTGAAATGTGTAATTCTAATCTGATGACGTACACTCTTTGTAAGGAGCTGAACTTGTCTTTATTACAAAAAGGGAGGACTTCTTAGCATAATAAAATTAAAGTGGCTCGTAGTCTGATAGTTTGATTGGACACTAGTAACTAGTGTTATACGTCTAGTTCTTTCTTTGGTGTAGACTGAATTCTGCCAGTCAGGTTTGCAATGTGGCCACTGTGTTAAGTGGCTTGCCATCACGGTGCACACTGATTTGATGATATTAAATAGAATTCAGTCTGCACCAAAGGAAGGAGTAGACTCATAACACTGGTTACTAGTGTCCAATCAAACTATCCACTACAGTCCTACAGGAGGTCATTTGCGAGCCCGAATAGCTCAGTGGTTACATCTCTAACTGCAGGCAGCACTGGGTGACGCGAGTTTGAATCTCAGAAGGGACATACATGAGTTCCTTGAAGGTTGCAGATACGCCTTGTTGACTGGTGAGTGCCAACTAGCACGAAACCTAGGTCAAGCAAAGCTTCCTGTAGCCGGTTGCCTTCAACCATCTAATATCATCATAGCCTGATACATGAGAAATCTAGCTGACTAAGAAATTTTGTACCTTTGTCACTGACTGGCTTCAATCAACTTAAAATTAAGTACGGTGAGATTTAGGAATACTGTGTCGGTGATATAAAAGCATCTTATAAATTGATCTTACACAAAAGAAATTTAACAAAACTTTTTAGTTTGAACAGGTTTTTCAATGTCATCGTCATCTATTTATAAGTGAGTTTGCTAAGTTGTATAACCTTAACGACTGATACATACGGAAAAAATTTACACTTGGTGAGCTTCTTCGTCATACTTATGACTAACTTAAATATTTGCATGTCGTTTTCATGAGTCTTATACTTGTCAAACTCTATTGATCTCTTCACTCATCTTCTTGTCTACCTCTGTGTGCTATTTGGAACGTGGCAACTCGAAATGCTGCACTTCGGTGCCAAGTTCTATGTTGAATCCAGACAGACAGACAGTCGTTTGTTTTAGTGTCTGTGACTCATGACACTGACTGTTTAGCCACACAAATGAACAACTGGTCTGAAGACTATGATTCAACTTTTGGTAGTTTATAGCTTCGTTTAATGAGTCGTTTTATGAGAAAAACTGCAAGGGAGAGGTGAAACAGCCAAATGAAATAGGAATTTATTACGGGTTGATCACGGATTGATGTCAGTTAGAGAACCATTGAAAACCAGGGAGTACTGGACAGCTGCTGTTTCATCCTAGTTTGGGAATCATCGGCAGTACGCACCCACTGGGATTCGAACCCGGGACCTTCCGGTTACAAGGCAAGCTCGTATACCATTCAGCCACTGGGACCGTGATCAACCCGTAAAACATAACTAATCCTTACAAACCAAACTATAGAAAGGAATTTATTACTCACCAGTTAGTGATATTCTCATGAATTAAATTAACCCGCGTAACACGTTTTCCGTTGTTGGAAGAAAATGATTATTAGAAATGCATTAGAATACATTTAATGCTGATTTTCTCTAGAAATGCCTTTGGTTAATTTATTCATTTTCGATCGATGCATCACATTTTATCAAGCATTATAGTATCTTCTAAGTATCATGGTTTAAAGAAGCATGTACACTGTGAAACGTGCATAGAAAACTGATCACTTAAATCTCTATTAACTGAAAGAAATTCACGCTTGCAACATTATTAATGCTTATGTTCAAATGATATATATATATATATATATATATATATATATATATATATATATATATATTATCAGTATGAAAGACTATCTTGGCTAGTTTTAAATACTTCCCATACATGCGATCATGAGATTCATGCACACATCAGCATTCATCACCTTTAAAACAGTTTTCTGTTTTTTTGTTTTATAAAAATCATGCATTAGATTTGTCTGTGACTCAGTGTTAAGAAGAGTTGAGTTAAAGACTAGTTTCTTGGTGAATCATTAATCTTCAGATTACCTCAAGATAATGCGATTCATTAGGTTCTCTATTTGTTCCACTTTTAGTCTTGCATCCTTGATCAGCAGATGATTTCCATTACTTTTTAACTAACTTTTTAACTTCCTCACTTATTCCCTGTTCCTGTTTGTCTTTTAGATTTGCTTAATCTCTCATGTTAACATTTTAATAATAAAAAAAGGGGAAAATCAAACAACACGCTTTAATTGGTAAACGTTTATAAATAGGAGAATAATGAGTGAAACACAATTATTGAATTCTACAAGTGATACTAATCCTGACTACACATCTTCACAAATAAGCACAAGCTGGTCACACTTACCTGTTAAATTTATTTGCTGTGATGCAGATCAAGAAGAGTTAGATGATCCAGCATCGCCTGTTGAAGGAGGATCTAGAGGTGATGAATCGGCTCATGAACATGTACGTAATCAGTTTGGAAGTGATACCAGTCAACCGTTAAGGGGAACAAGTTCACTTGGTTTAAATGGTGTCAAAAGTAATTTGAGGAATTCACTTGCATCTATACCGAATCATCTATCTGTAGAATACAGTGTAAGTGAAGCAATTTTTTTTTGTGAAAAACTAAGAACATTTTCCATACTTCTTAGGGAATAAAAAACAGTTGCAGTGAAGAAAATTTTCTTTTCGACAAAGTGACCGTCAACTAGGCTGTACATTCGTGTATTTATGATAAATGTGATGGGAAACTTCCAGAATTATCTCCGTCAAGGGTCAAATTAATAAAGCTACAATTAGGAATTAAAATGCCATAATAAATAGGGAGAGGGGGACAGATAAACTTCAAACAAAGTAGCATCCTAATTGCTGAGAAGACTGACTTTTTGTGCAATAGAATATAGAAATAACAAAATAAATAGACAAGATGTTTGGATGGAATAAAAGTCGAGTGGGATCATAACTAATGTGACGAATAATTGTTTATGCAATCAAGGATTAAATATGTAGAAATAGTAAAATGACAAATTAGACAGGAAGTTCGGATATAAAAATATGGTAGTGTAAATAGGAATTAAGAAAAACCTAAAAATAACATGAATAAACAAGAAGTTTGGATAAGCAAGGCAATGAGATAGTCAGTATTAGAAGAATTACCTATTTATGATGGCCATTACAGGGACAAGTGTTGAACGTATTTCTTCTCAACATATAACGGGGTTTTGAGCTTTTGGATCGCTAGTGCCTCAGCTATGCCCAACTGTCTTAATTTTACTCTCTTTGGATAGGTTTGATCAAATCTTGTATATTATTTTGAAGGATTTTTCGAATGGCAGCACTGAATTTCCTGAATTGACCAGATGTCCTATCACTGAACTATATACCCCCTTTTCCATTCTCCTTTTCTGGAACTTTCTTACCCCATTTATTATAAATACACGAATGTACAGCCTAGTTGATAGTGACTTTGTTGAAAAGAAAATTCTCTTCGCTGCAACTATCTTTTTATTTCCATACTTCTGTAAAGAGTATTTTATAAATTTGTTCACTAGACTTAACTATAATTATATAAAAATTCTCATTCATACGCGTTACAGTTGTCAGAAAGCTATGAATACTGATTCTGCATTGAATAACTTTTATCAGAGACATATTTTGCAAATAGATTGTTAACAATAAAATCTAATATTATTTAGTTAATATCGAACGTGTATCACTTCACACCTAAATGTCAGGTAAAATGTAACCTAAGGATAGATAAAAGGATGAGAATTTGTCAATAAACCATAAAACCAATTGGGAAAGGTAAGACGAACAACAATAATAATGAAGTATATATGCATGTTCAACACTACAATCGCTATTGAACACTGTCACCTAGTGTGTAATTCTGTCTTGTGACGGTCACGTCAGCCGAATCTAGTCAGCCTACACTCTCATTAGTATTTATTATTATTACTGTTCCCTTGGGTTCCTAGTGTGGAACATAGGGCTTCAACTGCACTTGCTCCACTTACTTCTGTCTTCTGCTGTACTTCTCACCTGCATACATGTTAGTCCATACTGTCCAACTCCTCTTCCACGATCTCCTCCATGTCACCCTTGCACTGACGTCCCACTCGCCGCTTCCCTTTCGGCCTGGTTCCACTTGAGCACTGGACTGACGCGCGCGCGATGCCACCCAGCGGCCTCCTCATTCATCGACTGTTCAATCCATCTCCACTTTCTCCTGCATATTTGTTGTTGGGCGATTGGTTTTTGTTTTCTTTTGTTTGTCCCCATAGTTTCTTGTTGTTGGTGATTCTTTCCGGCCCGGCCATCTGATCTTCAGTATAGAGTACACTCTCATAGGTGATTCAAACCAAATGCCTATGGATTATGGTTTGGTATCATTTTCACATCAACCGATAGGTCATGTGGAGCAAGGAGGAAGACATACATTTAGCTGATAAGAAGACTTGGACTTTGTGAACTATTTATGTCTACAGGCGAAGAACAACAAGTTGGCAGAAGTACTGGAATTAAGAGAGAGAGATGATGGTGATCTTGATGACGATACCTAACAAGCAACAACAAGCGGCAATCAGTATCAACATGAGAAATTCGAAGGAAGTCACCAGTGTTTTTACCTATCTAGGCAGAATCATTTCAACTGCGAGCGGCAGGAATGACGTTTCCAAACCTAGGATTAAAAAAGCGAGGCAAGGCAACAGAGGCCTTGATTAATCTGAAACCATTGTAAAAAAATATGCTGCACTCAGCATTAAAAAGAAAAAATAGATCCAGATTTTCAACACTAATGTCAAGTCGGTGCTACTAACGATTCATGGACTTGGCGTATCACCGTAGGCATTTCGGACAGGCCAGCTGCATTCGCTGACTTGCCTACTGAAGATCAATTTGTCAGAAACTATAAGCAACAATGAACTCTGGCAGCAAGCTAACCAATAACCTGGTGACCAACATATATGTGTAGAAATAAAATTGTTAGATGGATTGAATGTCTGTCTCTGTCTGTTTTCGACATAGAACTTTGCACAGATGTGCACCAGTTCAAGTCGCCACACTCCCTCATTGTAGCACACAAACCAAGAGAAGAAAGTAGAAGAAATGCATAATAGAGATAATAGACAGGGATATGAGACAAAGGAATAGTAATAACGAAGAACAATATAGTTTCATTGGGTATTATAAGTCACAAGGAGTGGATGTATCTGCACTAGCCAGCCAGTGAAAACGACCACTTTGAGCCATATCACCGATTGTCTCCAGCCTACATTGGTTTTTACCGTCCCGAGGACCCCAACCAGGAAGTCTACACCTTTCTACGTGGCTGGCTTAAGCTAACTGTTGTGGATTTCCTTTACTGAAGAGGCCATAGTTTGGTTTGACCACCGCTGGCTCTTTTCCAGTCTGACCCTATGTCAGCTAACATTGCCTGTCGGTCGAGTAAGGCGATGACTAGGCATACGTAACACATGTCTTAACCGTCTCAGTCGATGTAGCTTCACAGCCTCGTCGATTGATTTCCCCTCCTTACCTAGCACTCAACCGAAGCCTAACCTCAATATTGATCACCTTGGTATACCACTTAACACGGGATTGAATACATGCTAAGGCGTCACGTGTCAGGCGTGAGAAACTACAAGTTGGACTTGTCTTTTCGAGGGTGACATTGGAGATCATGTAAGGCAGAAATGTGAGTTTTTATGGGTGGTGGTGGTAATCTTGGAGTCAGACATGAAACAAAGTGGGATGGAGATTCGCTGTTGTGAAGGTCTTCTATGTTCCACTCGGAACCTAAGTAGATAGATAATAATAATGATAATAATGTTCGGCCTGCACTACTAGGTGGTATAGCATGATAAGCTTTTTATGACACACACTATTTGACTCATCGCCTAACACGCAATCTTGCATTGGGTCACTAAGTTGCTGTTATGAAACTATATACATTATTCTGTTTGTTAATTCATCACTTAGTTTATTATAATTTGTTAAATCACTCTATGCTTTTTGTGTTAATGACGTGTTAATTATATGGATTACGTATAAATTCTAAATGCAAATTACTAATTTATAAGTGAAATCATGTGAGAATCTGTCAAAACGAAACGATTAATTTTTTTTCGTTGTTGATGAAACATAAATAGAACAACAACAACAACTATGACTTCTTGTAATGTATTCTAATTAAAAAGTCAGCTTCCATAACCAACCAACCAACCAACCAAACAGTTGTGTACACCTTAGTTTCCTGTGTTTGTTGTCTGTTTTGATAGGTGTATTCGTTAAAGAACAATTGGCTTTTTTTCTGGTTGATTTGATTTATTACTATTATCATTATTATTTCCTTTAATTCTTAGAGAAATATAGGGCTTCAGCCACTCACATCTCCATCCATTGCATTCGGTTCTCTGCTAAAGTTTTCACCTGGCTCCACGGCTGCCCACATGCTTTCATATCTCCTCTTCACATGACCTCCTCCACTCCATGTCACCCTCGCCTTGACCACCAACTCGTCGCTTCCCATTCGGGTTCCACTCGAGCAATAGCCTGTCTGATGATGTCACTTGATGGTTTGTTTCCTCAGAGTATGACCAATCCACCTATCTCCATTTCTTCCTCCTTGTTTGTTACACAATCGGTTCCTGGTTGGTTCACTTATTGCCAGAGATCTCTGTTGCTTATCTTTTCTGGCCGGCCATCTGATCTTGAGTATTGAGCGAAGACAGCTGTTGATGAAGGTCTGTAGTTTGTTTGAGGTGCTCTCTATGATGCGCCAACTCTCTGATCCGTATAGTAGCACTGACTGACTTCACATTGGAGTTGAAAATCTGGATCTTATTTTTGATGCTGAGTACTGTTGACCTTCGCACAGACTTGAGAGTAACGAAAGCTGGCGTTGCTTTCCCTATCCTTGCTTTGATTGATATCGTCGTCAGTTCCATCCGCCTTTAGTTGAAGCGATGCTTCCCGGGTATGTCGGTAGGTAAAGGAGGTTGTTTCTTTCAGGTTCCTCCCATTCATGCTGACTGATTGTTGTCTGTTTTTCTTGTTGCTGTTAGTGGTGTTGGCCAGGAATCTTCATCACCTCTGTTTTCTCTATGTTTACTTGAAGTTCTATCATTGATGCTTCTTCTATCGCCAACTTGTTGCTTTTCACTTGCATATCTTCTAGTTTGTGATGAATCAGACATATATCATCGGCGAAGTCCAGATCCTCCAAGTTTTTCATGAGGGTCCGTTTTATGATTTCAATGAACAAATATAATTAACAGCATCTCAAAGAGTTGATGAATGATCTGTAAGACAATATGAAAAAAAACAATTTTGCCGATTCGTGAATTATTTTTTGTATTCCTTGCCTGAGATGTCTATACAGACTTCCTTCAGATATCTGTTTCCATGAGTTTCAGTGTTCTTCCTCACAGGTTTCCTCCATGATGTTGTTTATTGCCTCGAACCTTTTCCTGTTGATTGGGGTGAATGAGTATTTTTTTTGGCTTCTTTTTCCAATTTTGCGAATGATGAACCTGAATTGCGGTTCGGCTTCTCCAGATCCTTTAAAATCTTTCAACTTGATCTTAGAGGTT